GCACAGATTCTGCTTTGTAGCCCTATAACCGCTTTAACAGAAGCAGAAGGACTTCATTTGAATACTGGATGTCAGATAACGTGTGTGGGTATGCAAAGTTTTGCTCTACCATCAAACATGTTTGTTTAAATCAGTGTATTTATGATTCTGATTTCTACACCATTTTGACCACACAGGTGTTAAAAGTTGTTTAGATCGTTACTGCAAATATCTCATTAGCCGGTCACGTGGTAGCTGCTCATTGCATTTAGGCATATACACATGGTCAAGACAACCTGCTGAGGAAAAGTGATTTAAGTTACTGATGGTTGTTGGTGCCACATTGCTTGTTTATTGGGATATTCGCACACAACTTTCTTAGAGAAAGTATGCCCGACAATGAGAAACTATCCAGCACTCAGAGAGAAAATAATGATAGAGTAATGATAGAGGCCACAGGTGAGATGCAGAAGGCAACAGTAACTCAAATCTATAGGAAAGGTTCTGAGGTGCAACAAGGTGTTGCTAATAAAGTCTATATCAATGCTCTGTGTCAGAAGATAATCCTCATTAATGTTGTCAGTAAAACCAAACTTACTAACAACATCACTCCTATTTCATGTGAAATATCTAGCTCTATTAAAGTTTATAGATACAGATCTTTAATTAATAATAATAATAATAATAATAATAATAATAATAATAATAATAATACCTGTTATGTGCAGGAGGAAACACATCACCGTCCACTGAGTCTCTACAAACAGCATGACTGCAGGAATGCTTCGGTTTCTATATTAACAAGAAAATGTATAAAATAACAGAACTTGTATCTGTTTTTTTTAAAGATCTCCTACTTTATATTCATAAAAAACATAAAATTTAACTCACATGTTGAAATTAAGAGCAGTGTCTCAGCAAAGGCAAGTTTTCATCTTGTTGGGGACGATAAATACATCCCACACAGCCCTGAGATCTAGCTGTAACTTCCTTCCTCTTGAAATGCTTAATCAAAATAATCTTGTTTAATGGTTTTAGTGTTGTGCAAAAGTCTTCCACCATGTTTTACAGATGTAGATACGTGCTTGTTGTAGGTCTCTGCCGGTTACTTCGGGTACAGAGCTTTGTAGGTCTGCTACTTACTGTTGTGCTCTACTTGTAGAGTTTCTTTATATGCGAAGTGACAGGATTAAGTCATAGGTCCGTATTAGGTTGCTTCAGAAATAATAATAAAAAACCAACAACACTCTTATGAGTCAAGTTTAAGGACTGGAATGAAAATGAGAGAAAAAGCAACCAGACCTTCAGAAAGCCTGGAGAACTGTTGTATATAACTGCCTATAGAACACTTTAACACATGAATGTCTGGGTTGGAAACAGAATACATGACTCAAGACTTTTATTATTAGCTGGTCTAGTTTAATACACAGTAAATGCAAATGCTGAAACTACTTAAATAAATGAAGTAATGTAATATTAATTT